TATATATATATATATATATATAGATATAATATAAAAAAATTACGTCAACCCGTGTAATTTTAAAGAAAGATTGAATTTTGAATTTTTTTTACTGAGAATTTTTAAAAATCTTTCAATTATTATTTTCACTTATAAATGCCCCCAATCCAATCTTCACCAATTCATTTCACAATCTTCATATTATTTAGTTTATTTCTCAAAAGTCTTAATCGTTTCAATTTTTCTAAAATTGTTTGGTGTTTTAATTCAACTTTTTTTTTTTGTGTGTAATTTTGAATTTAAAGTTAAGCTCAAGTTTTTTTCAAATTTCAATTTACTTTTTTCTTTCTTTCTTGTAATTCATTGAGAAAAGAAAATAAAAAATAAATGAAAAACTGATTATGACCCGGACCCGGACCCACCTGCCCACTGGTCAGCTTAGGGTCCCCCAAAAGTCTGACCCGGACCCGATACGTAGCCGTGTCTATCTTTGGGGATTGTTGTAATTTACCCTAATAGATATTATTTGTTGTAAGTATTTTTTTTCTTGTCCGAAGTGTGATTATGCGCCTAGTTTCTGCTCTTTCAGTTTGTTGCGCAAGTTGGGACAAAACAAGTTGACTTGTTTTAGGATAGAACCGGTATTCACTTGGTTGAGGAAAATAACGGGTTACACAACTAAGTCTACCCTAGGATAAAGTTAAATACACTTTGTACCCCTAAAGAGCATTATGCAATCGCCTTACGGGACATTTTGGATAAATATGCACGGATCTCAGGCCAAGAAATCAATTATGATAAAACCACAATTATATTTGGCCCATCAACTTGTGAGGAAAAGAAAGCAGCTATTCACAATACCTAAATTTGGAGGTGGTGGATCGTCATGAAAAAATACTTTGGCATGCCGGCGACTATGGGAACCACTAAAAAGCAAAATTTTAGCCATATTCGAGATAGAGTGTGGGCAAAAATTAGAGGATGGGATGAGAAATATTTATCAAATGCTGGAAAAAAGGTGTTGATTAAGGCGATTCTACAAGCTATTCCGTCCTATGTCATGAGGTGTTTCTTATTGCCTCAATGATTGCTTCAAAACACTGAGAAAGCGATGCGAGGATATTGGTGAGGGAATGGTTCCAACCAAAAGATGACTTGGGTCTTATGGAAAAAACATATGCTTTGCCGAAGAGTTGGAAGGTATGGGGTTTCGAGACATGCGATGTTTTAATATTGCTCTTGTAGCTAAACAACGATGGCGCATTATGACACAACCGGGACTTCTTTTCTCGCGAATTATGAAACCAAGATACTTTCCAAATGGAGATTTTTTTTCTCGGCTGACTATGGATAATGACTCTTTGCAACTTCGAGAAGTATTTAGGCCGTTCACGATCACATTTACTCAGGGCTCTGGAGAAGAATCGGAACTGGCTCAACAACCTCAATATGGATGGATCCATGGTTGACGGACAATGAGAAATGACGGGTTTTCACTAAATGAACCCCTTTTCGAACAAAGTTCCACTCTCTCATTCCTGGAAGATAACTATCATTGAAAAGTATTTTAGGCTAGTTGATAGGGACCGAATTCTAGTTGTAGCAATTGGCAGCATTAACGTCAATGATAGGTGGATTTGGCACTTTACTAATCACTGAATATTTCCGGTGAAGTCATGCAATCATAGCGTACTCTCAACCCAAACTACCACGAGGAACGACCAGTCAACGAAAAGCACTTCTAACAGCGGGGTAGTGAATGCTCAATGGATAGTAGTGTGGAATATTAATATTCCACCAAAGATTAAGATCTTTCTTTGGCGTTTATGCTCGAACATACTTCCCACACAGTTGGGATTCGCTCGGTGGAAAATCACACGTGACCCAACATGTTGGAGATGCGGGGTTAAGGCAGAATTGAGCCCATGAGATTTGGAGTTGTTTTCCTCTCCATCAAGTTCCGGCTAAACGATCTCTATCCATATGCCAATGGATATGTACATTGCACCAACACATGGATGAAGATTCTTACAATTTAGCAATCATTATTATGTGGAAAGTTTGGGAGATTAGGAATAAGGAAATTCAACGTGAGGAGATTATGAGAATGGGTGATGTTTTAGCTTGGTGCAAGAGTTATCTAGAGTGTTTCATGAAAAGTCAAATTCCGTCTTAAATTATGAACCGAACAATTATTATAGTCTTAAATTAGAGACTTATTAATCGACAAAATTGTCCATACGTTTAGATTTAGGGTTTATTTCAAAATATCTTTCTTTTATACATATCATTACTTGTTGTACGTTGATATACCTCTTAAAGAATTTGGGAAAATACAAAACATAAAAATTATAACTCTGTTTGTAAGATTTTTAGTGCACTTCAAATCAATGCAACCGGAATTCATACGAGAGAATTATGCTCAAAATACTTAATTTACTGTGGTGTTGCTTAATTTAATGACATGTATTTAATCTTCATGCAATATGAACCTTATAAAATGTAAAATATGATAAGGTTCTAGCTTACTTATAAGATGTTTTTGTTAGAGAATATTATATTATAGAATTCTCCTAATATTAGGATTCTAGTATGATTCGGTTACCTAGATTAGTTAGGATTTAATTATCTAGTCAAACTCTATTACCTTGCAATATTTCTCTATATATATTCCATGTAATCAACCCATAACATAATGGGGGTTTCTATTACGCATTATTATTTCTCTGTTTCTCCTATTCTATTCTTCCTATACGGTATCAGAGCACCAGGTTTTTTAACCTAGCCGCCTTTCTTCTCCATGGCGGTGACCACCCAATTTTCTCCCTCCCCCGGTGGTGGTACTTCTAATATCTTTCCTTTTTTTATCTTTTCTATAAACACCACCCAAATTTTCTCCCTCCCCCGGTGGTTCTCTATCTCTTTTTTTCTATCTTCTTCTTCTTCTTCTCCATGGCCTAAAACCTAGCCGCCGCTTCTCTTCTTCTCAATGGCCGGCGACCACCAAACCGAATTTTCTCCCTCTCTCGGTGGTGTATGTTCTCTATATTTTTCTTCTTTCTTCTTCTCCATGGCCTAAAACCTAGCCGCTGCCTCTCTTCTTCTCCATGGCCGGCGACCCCTCTCTCATCTTTTCTCTCTATCTCGATAAAAAAAAAAAAAAAAAATTACCCGTTATTATTATTATTATCTTTTTTTTTTTTAAATTTGGCAGATATTTCAACAGAGGAATTCTCTAGCGATGTGTTTCGCGGTTTCTGTCCAGTCTTCACG